GTGCGCTACGCAGGGCTCTCGGATGATGGTGACACATCGGATCCCAGTGGCAGGGACCCCGACCAGAGTCGCCGCCACCCCCGGGACAGCGTCACAGCCCTAATCAACGTCTGAGACCCCGCCCGGCATGGGAGCTACTCCAGGACCAAGAGAGCATCTCGTGTCCACAACGAACCGGGTTCTGAGACCAGCAACCTGCGGACGAAACAGGACCCGCACGCGTCCTGCGCAAATCAAGTTGTTATCTCACCAACCACCCCAGCGCCTGGCATTTAAGGGGAATCACAGAACTCCCACCCACCAGCCTGACCCGCGGTCATGCGTCCTGCCTGGCAGGGAGCACGGGGTTCGGTCACGAGAGGCCGGCTGCAGGTTGGGAGGTCGGGCCAGGCTCCCCCCCCTCCCCCCGCCGCCATGGGGCTGAGTAATCCCAGGGTCTGACCCCACCCAGGACGCACCCTTCACAGCTTCCTACCCCTCCCGGCTCTCCCTCTTCTCTCCAGGCGGGGGCGCCTCTTGGGGAGACTTCAGCTCCTGCAGCCCCCTTGGCACTCAGGGCTCGGGTTTCGAGCAGGAACAGCTTGGAGCTGGCCACGGGCTGCGACGGCGATGAAACATTCCGGACCCCCAGCCGAGAGCCGCCACCTGGGCCAGCGACCAGGACACCACAGGCGCTCAGGCAGCCTCTCCGCTGCGGCCACACAGCCCCAGGGCGTGGCCGCAGGTAATGAGCTTCCTCCACCATCTCCCACGCCTGCTGGGAGTCAGGACCCAATCACCGAGTGCGGCCAGGGGGCATGTTCGCCCACGATCCGACAAGACCTGGAGGGGCCAGGAGGCTCCCACCCGCCCGCTGGGATGGCGGCAGGTGCCTTCTCCCCGCTCCCCGGCCGGAGCCAGGACCGCAGAGGGGAATGAGGTTCTAGAAGGTGGCCGGGGCATCGTAACTTTTTCTAAACAGCCAGGGTCCCAGGCTGGCAGAGGGAAGAGACAGGCGGGGACGTGAGTTCCCCAAAACTGCAGACACTGCCGGTGACTCCACGGTAGCCGGCCTGCCGCGGCCCGGCGCAGGAGCCCCAGCCGGCGGGCAGCGGGGTTCCCAGGCCCCTCCATGCCGCGCTGAGGCCTGCAGTGAGGACAGAGGGAAACAGAGTTTTGGTCCATAAAATGGGAGGTTGTTTGGGGGGAGGATTGTCGAGAATTACTCCTACGTCACTAAGGGCCTTTCTCCGCGGTCCGTGGCCTGTGGCCGCCCCGCACGCTGGCCTTAGGCGAGCAGCACCGACCGGTGGCGTCGGCTGCCGGCTGGGCCCCGGCGCAGCCTGGGTGCTCCTAGGGCTCGTCGAAGAGCTGGAGATCCAGGCGGACCACAATCTCCCCCGTGGGCACTTCGTGCAGCAGGAGACACTTGGTCACCGGGCCCTTGGAGCCCTGGTCCCTCTTGATGTCGGCCACACGGATCTCCGTCCGGCCCAGGAAATCTGAAAGGAGAGCGAACAGGCTGCTCAGGGAGGGGCTCCTCCTCGTCCAGGTGCAGGCCTGGCGTGTGGGGGCTCCCGCGGACCGTGCTCTCCTCCTGCGAGAGCCTGGTGTGCGGGAGCCCACGGCTCGGTGGCCCACAGAGCAGGAAGCAGAGGACGAGGAGGGGTGGGCGTGGAGGAGCGTCCGGAAGGACTGAGATGCGGATGCGGCCCCCACCCCCGGGCCTCCCTCGGGCTGCAGCTGCCTGGGAGGCCCCGCACAAGCAGGGGTCACAGGAGCTGCCCCACCTGCGTGGACATGGAGCATGTCTGGGTCGAAGCTGGGCGGTCACTCCCCCAGGGCTGGCACAGGGCGCGCTCTGCCCATCAGACACTGAGTGTCCGCACGAGAATAGGACGGGCGTGAGCCATTTAAACCTGGCAGGTGCTATGGGACACACGATGATGCCTCGGACCAGCAGCTCCTTCCCCCCGGTATTTGACAGCTACTGGCTGTGGTCTCCTAGGACCCAGGCTCTCAGCACAAGGTTCCCATGGAAACCGGGAAGCTGGTCTGGTGGACAGACACGGGCTGGTGCCCCATCCCCCCCATCCTTCCCGGTCAGGGCACATGCCTGGGTTGCAGGCTTGATCCCCGTTGTGGGGCATGCAGGAGGCAGCCAGCCAATCGATGACTCTCTCTCATCACTGATGTTTTTCTCTCTCCCTCCCTCTCTCTCTGAAATCAATAATATATATATATTTTTTAAGTATAAAATGTTTAAAAGAGAAACAATGCCAGGAGGTTCAACACGCACCCAGTAGGGTGTCACTGTGTCATGCTACTTCTGTTCAGGAAGGAACCCAGCGCGGCCTCCAACCTTCCCACGTCAGAGTGGGAGCAGCAGGGCCCCCCGAAGGCCCAGACAAAGGCGCCCTCGCCAGTCCCGGTGGCAACGCACCCTCCGTGCGACCCTTCAACCGGAAGGGCAGGTGGGCCTC